CCCAAACAAAACCTGCTCCCAACCAGGTTAGGTTCACAGAGTAAGTTGCCATAGTAACTGACTCTGAGTTTAGATTACCTCTCTTTTTGAAACGGGTTTAACTTACCCCACTTTCACGGGTTTAAGTTACCTCTGTTTCTGGAATCGAAAACTCCGAGTTTTCCTCATTTTGGGGTTAACAAACTCAGAGTTTCAACAAAACCTCCTTCTTGAAATTTTAGCCCACAGTTGTCCTGGAGCATGAGGCAGTGGTGGGGGCGTTCAAGTGCTTGTACTGGCTAATAAAGCATGAAATAGACCCACAAACCAACTATCCAGCCTTGCTGCAACTAGCTAATCTTTTGGGCTGCACCTTTTTTGACAAGCTCAATGTAGGCTTCTTTTGTAAATGTTTACCATATTTTTTGTTTTGTTTTGTCTTATGTGATCACTATATTGACAATGAATTGGATTTTGCTTGCATAAATTTTTTTAAAGAATTAATATGCTGCATTTAATTGTCAAGTGTTTTTGAATGTTAACTTTTTTTAGATTGGCAAAAGCACCAACTTTATGTCAAGTGAAATAATTGATGAAATGCTGGAAATTCTGTCCGCTATCATCGAGAAGCCAATATTGAGGGATATTTCTCAGTCACGAGCCATAGGCTTGGAGATTGATGAGACCACAGATGTCTCTGTGTGCACACAGCTAGACATTCATGTGAGGTAGGTGTACTCGAAGTGTAACATTTCATTGTCACAATAAATTTTCAATATACAAATAACTGAAATGTATAAATGGGCAGCATGGTGGCGCAGTGGTTAGCACCGTTGCCTCACAGCGAGAAGGTTCCGGGTTCGGGCCCCACCCGGGACCCTTCTGTGTGGAGTTTGCATGTTCTCCCCATGCTTGCGTGGGTTCACTCCGGCTTCCTCCCAAAGACATGCAGCTTAGGTTGATTGGTGTCTCTAAATTGCCCATAGGAGTGCGTCCGTGTGTGTGGTTGTTCGTCTGTGTGTTAGCCCTGCAATGGATTGCCGACCTGTCCAGGGTGTACCCCGCCTTATTCGCCCGATTGCTGGCCGAAATTGGCTCCAGCTGCGACCCCGTTCAGAGACTAAGCGATAGAAAATGAATGAAATGTATCATATGAACATTATTAGGTACTTGGACGACAAGGGGAAGGTCTTCTGCGAATTCTTGGACCTGATTTGCCTGACTGATGTGAAAGCAGATTCAATAGTGGCAGCACTAAAGAACATTATTCACACGAAGGGCATCCCCATGCACTTCATCTTTGGCCTTGGGACTGATGTTGCTGCTGTAATGACAGGTGTCATACCTTGTTTTTTGTACATAATTAAACAGTTTTGAATATTTTGTTTCTTGTAAAATTAATAAATGAATGTATTCAATAGGAGGACAAAATGGAGTTGCAAAACAACTATCAGAGGAATGGCCGTGGCTCCTAAGTGTCCACTGTGCTGTCCATAGGCTAGCTCTAGCCTGTAAGGATGCATTAGAAGAGGTGCCTTACATGGCTACATTCAGAGACCACTTGGAACAGCGGGGGGGTCAGTGTCTTCCTCAAGGACACTTCGACATGTTGACTGGACAAGCTGGGAATCACACTGCTAATCCTCCAGTTAGGAGGCGACCCACTCTACCTCCTGAACCACAGCCGCACCCCCCTTTAGTTTTTTTAATTATTCTTCTCTCTTTTCCAGCTCCTCTTGCTGTTTTTCCTCCTTCTCCCCAAAGTCCAGTTCTGCATCCCATTCATCCACCACCACATATTCTGCATTCTCCTCCATTTCTTCCCTTCCATCCCCCCAGAAGCCTGCTGGTTCTTCCTCCATCGGTCTGGGTGTGATACGGGAATACAGGTTTATCATCAACCCCTCTATGTACTCTTCTTCCTGTGCCAGGATAATCTCTTCTCTGTCCCAGGTGCATTTTCCTCATGCAACTCGTTCCCATCTCCTTTTGGCCTGTTTATTGTTTCCTTGGACTCCTATTCCTTGAATAGTGGCCATTCCAGTATTTCTTGTAAATATTCTTGTTGTTCCCACGGGACTTCTAATTGTAAAGTGACAATCTGTTCAATGGCCTCCTACAGCATCTCCTGTAAGGTCATTTCTGATACCTGATCATCAAAAGCCGGCACTGCTTTAGTGGCCTGTGTTTTCTGAGCCTTTTCCTGATTCTCTCCGGGACCCCTTTTTACAACTCCGTCGACACAGCAGTCAATATAACAACTAAACAATTATTTGAACTGTACATTGAACTAAACATCTGAACATTTCTTTTTATGACAATTATCCACAAAGGATGCAGCTTTTGTCACTGCAGTGTATCTTTCTGGGCTTCTGGAAGAACATTTTCAGAGCCTCTTGATATGGGAAGTCAGAAACATCTGGCCCATTTATCGACATCCGCGTGCAGGCTGCAAGATGGCGTCCTTGCAGTCAATTGCGGATGTTTGTCTTGACCTGCAAATACATTAACATTTAGGCTTTAAAAGTGATATCTTAACAGTGAAAGCTTAAAGCAGCAAATCCCATTGTGAAAAGTATTTATTACCCTGTTCATGGTTGAGAAGTCCCTCTCACAGTTTACGCTGCTGAGTGGGACCGTCAAGGCAATGGAAGCCAGCAGGCTCAGAGTTGGGTACAGGTTACCATACTCCTCATATTTTGAGGACAGTTCAGACAATATGGCCAGCTGTGTCTTGTCCTGAAAAGGTTCAAAATGATATCAGTAACACAGTATATTCTTCATGATAACGTCATGTGAAAATGTTACATTTTTAAGTTACCTTGAATGGACCAGAGACCACTTGCTTCTTAAAAGAGGCCCATTCATTATGGACTGTGTCGTGGTCGACGTGGGAACAAAACTTCTTTACCAGTGTGTTCAGTTTATCATGTGCAGTGTCATCAGTGATTGTAGCTGCTTGTGGACTGAGTATCCCAAATGCAGCCATGACTCCAACCTCACAAAAACACCCCTTGAGACAGGCAATGAGGCCATCCAAATATGGATCCATCACCTGATCAAACACATGAAAAATGTCAGTAAACTATTAGTATAAATAAAATTGTGCAACAACTACTTTTAAAGTTGCATCTATAAAGTCAGCCACAAGCCACATAATCATACCTGTGATTGAAATCTTCGCCAGTACTGCTGTCTGTCTCCTCCATCATCATCCCCTCTTCTCCCTTTCTCCTGTTCAGCAGAGATGCAGAATGACCCCAGTCCTGAAGGGTCATCCAAATTTTGGGTCAACTTACTCAAGTGTTGATGGCCACCAGAATCTTTTATGCCCTTTATTAGGGCCAGGGTGGCAGGGACCTGAGAAAATAAGCATATTGACTTGTGAAAAATTAATTGCGGTACCCTATGTTTGTGAAATATTAAACATGAAGATAAAACACAGCAGTTGAGCTGACTTATTCAAGTTACCTGCTCTTCAATTGCCAGGAACATGACATCCTCCTTTTGGAAGTAAAAGCTATTTTTGTAAGCTTTTTCCGGCTCTTTTTTAACAAGGAACTCACAAAGACGAAGTAGACCTCTTGGATATATAAAAATAACTGTGCTGGTTTATTCAAAGAATCACAGGTAAAATTAACATTACACGTCCAGATCTCTTCCACCTCCAATCCTGCACGCAGGCAGAACCAAGTATGAAAGACCCTGAACAGAGTGACATTTGCTTTAAAATATACAACGACCTGTGCTGGCAACGTCAGAAAACAACGGAACAACAAACATTTTCCGTTATTCAAAAAGGTAACATTATTTTCCCAGCATGCTGAAAGACAGTCCCTTTCCAAACTGCAGCACCAGCAGCCATGCTCTCTAACATTAAACCTCTTAACATTAGTTCAAACCCCAGGAGCAGCCACTCCTGTCACCTTTTCAGTCATACTCAACATGATAAAAGCTCAAAAAGAAGTTTGGACACGGTGAGTGCAATTTCATGTTGAAAGACACTTGACCAGTTGGAATGGTGGTTTATGCAGAAGGCATGGTGGAATTTCTGAAACAACTGATTCAAAACAGATGCTGCCTTTCTGGTTTTTTTTATTAGCACTTGCACCTCCTTAGAGAATGTCCAGGAGAGTGAGCCCCAAGTCAATTTGTCATGTATTCACTTATCTAATATCAACTTGAAACATCTGACTTGCTTCTGCAGAAATAACTGTGCACTTTATTATTTTGGATGAGTGAACACACATAGTTAGTTTACATTCGGTGAGACAAAATGTTAAATGAATGCATCAGATGTGCCTGAAATGATGTGATCCATAGTCTGTCAGTGTGAGATCAGTCAGATCTCACAGCTTTCCACTGTCACCACTGCTGATACGTGTAGTCTAGCTGCACAGCAGAGTCTTGCATGAGCCTATAAATATACTCTACATGTAATACAGATCAATACATGTAGAACAAGTTGTCTGCAGTGTCATCAATTTAATTATTCAAAAATAAATGATTGTGTAATAAGCATGACAAACCTTGTGACTTATCTCGATCCAAATCTGAATATACCCCTTGAAATTCAAAGATATCTTATAGAGTGTTGTTATAAACATTACATTCAGTGGTACTCACTGTAACACACTGTATGTATCCTTGTGGTCTAACAAACATGTTGAATGTTTCTCCATCATTAATTACATGCATATATTGAGAATTATCTATCAATCACTATTCTGATGCGACCAGCAGCCATGAAAACCATAAAAACAACCACCATGAAAGTAAAAGTGAGAAGCTTCTTGCAGTTGTACTCATGATACACTGTTTATTTCAATTTAAATCCAGCTGCTTTCCCACAAGATGGGTACCACAATAATTATGGCAGTTGTACTCATGATACACTGTTTATTTCAATTTAAATCCAGCTGCTTCGAAGACAAAAGAGCATCGGATATTCACTTCAGAAATTTTTTGCTTACTCAAGTGTTTTTCAGAACCTTGTCAATAAGTAAAATTTTGTTCCATATAAAAAACATTGTCAATTAGCTGCAGCTTTTGTATTCAAATGACAGTACTGTTGCTCCACTTAGTGCTAAGAGAATTAAATACTGGTAAACTATCTTAGGTAAATATAGTGCAGTTTTTTTTTTGTTTTGTTTTGTTTTTGCATTACTTAACATCAGTAATTGAGCTTTTTCAATCATGTGACTGCCATATGAGCTTCAATGCCGTCTGCAGACCCACCAGCAGTACGAACCTTGCACAACAGCCGTAACACACAATATAGTGCAGTTTTTTTTGTTTTGTTTTGTTTTTGCATTACTTAAAGACCCCATGACATGCTCATTTCCAGCCATTTAATGTTTAATCTTGGGTACCTGTGGATTAGCTTTGTACCCATCATAACTCAAGGTGGTCTGTATTTATTTCAGAACAATAAAACCCAAGATCCTCCCCCTAACAACAAGAGGATAGTTCATGAACGTACACAACTCCTGTTGCCGGTGTTGTGTTGGAATCGGTTTCCCCTAACCTGAATCCTAACATTATCCTAACCACAACTACTGAAGGGGGCACTACATGAAACTGAGTTTTGAACAGAGAAAACACATCTCGATGAGGGAACACTTTTTGACACAAGACCGGTCATGAAGCCAGGACAACACATAAACAAAACACACCGACAAATAAGCTACATTTTTGACAGTGATAATACCTCATATCCTACCTGACATGTTTGAGCCAGAATATGAAAGTGGACAGCAGGATGAACCACAACAGCGTGAATTAATTTGAATTTCTCCTTCATAGATAGGTAAACAATGGTATATGTACTGATGAAAAGAGATGTGAAAAAGTCTAAACAAGTCTTGCCATCTAGAGTTTGCTAGACTTGTATAAACTGAGTTGCTTCTGCATGGAAGTACAACAGTGTTGTAGCCGGTACTTTTTACCATACTGACTCTGAGAGACGAGACAGTCCAAGTAACTTCAAAACAGTGCTGATTTTTTCAAAGGATCACAGGTAAAATTAACATTACACGCTCAAGTATCTTGCACCTCCATACTGCACGCAGGCAGATGGAAGATGAAAGACCCTGAGCCCACCAGGCCTATACATTATATCACCTGGGTTGGGCTAGCCCCATACTACACAGAAACGTCAACCGCGACATCTCTGTTGCCAGCTTTGCAGCTGGCCCTAGCAGTAGTTAAAACATGAAGCAAATCAACGTGTGAATGTGTATGTCTGTTGGTTAAGTGGTGTGTAACTAAAAACATTCTCACGACCTCTAGTACATGTCGTGACTTAAACATAAGGACATATTATGGCTAAGGCTACAATTATACACGTCGTAATAATAATATTAAACACCCTGTCTGCTGAAAGTCCTCAACTCTTCTCTCTGGTATCCTTGACCAGATGTACCCTGTAAAAACTCATAAGCAGGCCTAAGCATTTAACAGTCTAACTAGACACCCTATCTCCACTAAACATTTCTAATACATAAAGTATCTATCCAATATCTATCTGACTAAAAATACCTAACAACAGCATACTTGCACCTCATATTCTGAGCTTTAGGTCATGCCTAAGATGATTATTTACTGTTGTACCCTTGTAGATAAGTAAAAAAACAAAACAAGGAAAAGCATGTTATGGGCCTTTCAATTACACCTTAGTACATTGTGTGTTTGTCCAGTTGGATATAGGAAGATTTGTGTTGATGTCTCCAACCTGAAGTTACATCTGACCAAAGCAAATGTGTACTTTGTCTTAACAGACCACAATGAGTAAAGAGAAAGATTTAGTGTTCACTTAAAATATTAAGTCTTTTCACCATTAACAGTTTTTTTTTCTGCCTTCTCAGTGGTACAAGCTGGATGAGCTCTTTGAACAGGAGCGTAATGTCAGGATTGCTATTGTAACATAGTTGAAATGATTATTTTGGTTAAATCCTGCTAAATAGAGCAACAGTGCCACCTACTCCTGGAATGTCGTACCTGCATTCAATAAGATACGCAAGGGTTTGCGGGTAATCTTCCACAGTATGGAGGATCCCTATTAGAAGGTACGTATTCGAGGTGTACCATGGATAAAAGACATTTAAATTGATTATAAAGCGCACAGAACCATACAAATAATGTGGGGATGGCCAGTGATTGTTTTATGTCACTCAGCGGCTGCATTGGTTAAGCTCAGTTTGGCTGGACGGCCAGCTCTAGGAAAGGTTCTGGTCGTCTTAAACGTCTTCCATTTAAGGATTATGGAGGCCACTGTGCTCTTAGGAACCTTAAGTGCAGCAGAAATTTTTTTGTAACCTTGGCCAGATCTGTGCCTTGCCACAATTCTGTCTCTGAGCTCTTCAGGCAGTTCCTTTGACCTCATGATTCTCATTTGCTCTGACATGCACGGT